CCCCGGTGTTTGCCATCGGGGTTTGGGTTTTCGTCGCTTGGCAACGACGTTGTAAAACAAGCCCCCCACTCGGTGTTTGCCATCGGGATTGGGTTTTCGTCGCTTGGCAACGACGTTGTAAAACAAGCCAATTCACTTCGTGAACTCGGCAACCAGGTTACCGTTTTTTTTTTTTACCTCGGTTTTTTTTTTGGCGGTAACCATAATGGTGGTCGAGTAGATCATGTTGTGCGGGGTCGAGAAACCTCACTCCGCGCAACGGGGGATGATCGCACCACGTTGTGTTAAAATGGTCAAGCTTCCTCGAGGCAGTTACACAGTGCTTACAACTGTCTCTGGAAGTGAAAGCACCAGAAAATAAATTAAGTCATACGTAGCTGTCATCCGTACGCAAGGAAGTAAGCACAAGATGCCGAACACCCTTAGCAGGATGCAGCTCACCCTTCATGCGACTCGCCAAATACCTCACGGCGCTTCGCGCTTGGTGATGTGAGAGCCTGGTCCGGTGAGAACCCGGCGTGCTCCGTCCCGGCTTTGTAGGGATGCGAGGTCAATGGTCAAACGACTACGGCATGCACGACTATGAGTACACCCCCCCCCCCCCCCCCCCCCTGGTGCGCGCGCTTGGTTGCAGCCGACTCGCTGACGGACAAGTACATCGCCTGTGCGATCGAGTCTGTCATCGAGATGGAAGTCGTGCGGGACTTCGCGCTGGTCAGGGGGCTGGTGTACCCGACGTCGGCCTTCACGGAGATGAGGATCTTCGCCGGCGAGGTGCACAACGTCGACATCGACTACCTGGTGGGGCAGGCGCACGACAACTGCCGGAGGGTGGTCCGCAACAACGGGGCGCCCGTGGGAGCCTCTGTCCATCGCGGGACCTTCGAAGCCAGCCTGTTGGGCTCGTTCATGTGGTGCGTCTGGCGATTGGGGGGGAGCGGTGCTGGTGGTGGTGCGGTGTTTGGCGGATGCTTTGGTTCCGGCATTGAGTTGAAACTTTTAGAGAATTCCTGTGTTCGCATACAATCAAAGAGGGGGTACCCGTTCGAGATACTGTATAAACCACAGAGAGAGCCGAACAGCATCTGGTGAATTTTATTTTTTGTTTGCTTGTGTTCGTGGGTGGTTGGTTCGACAAGTCTTCTTTGTTGTGTTCCTTTCGGTGAACCCGCGGTGGCTTTTGTTGATGCCCTCGTCACTGCTGGCCGTCGCACGAACCGGTTGCCGTTGTTGCGGTCGAAAATATACCACGCCGTGGAGAAAAGGAAACTGATGCCACGATCGATTGCTGCGGCACCGCGCCCGTCCCTCCGTTTCCCGCCTTTGGCCCCCCGTCCAGGCGATTCATGCCCGACTCGGTGCATTGGAGAGCGCTAGACCCCTTGGACGTCCAGCCCGACGAGTGGATGTCAGACGTGGGCAAGTACAATCTGTTGTGCCCCCTGGGGCACCTCGACGTCCCGAAGGACAACCGAGGGGCGAGAGAGTTGGCAAATAGGCTTAAGGGGATAGATTCGAGAGGGGCGTGCGACCAGTTCTTGCGCCATGTACGTTTGTCCCGTTGATTTATTTTTTTTGTAGATCCCGGCAGCAGCAGCAGCAGCAGAAGAAGAAAAGACGAGCTATATGTCGTAGTGTTATTAGAAGTACACGCCATACACGCCGTGGGTGGATGGACGCCGGTACCGTAGGGCGAGACCGCTGGTGGCGACACGGGGGAAAAATGCATTTTTTTCTTTTTTCTTTCTCCTGGGATTGGGTTGGGGGAACACGGCCAATATCCTGAGCCCTTCTCTCCATGGCTTCATGACCCGCCCCCTTCCCCTCACGCGACCTTGCGCTCGTTGTTGTTGACCGGCCGGCGGTTTGCCGCGCAACAGGTCATCGCTCTTCGTGTGTGCGTGTGTGTTAATTATAGCGCATGCGGTGTAGTCGTGGTTGGTAACACATGTGCCCAGTGCCCTAAACAGAACCCCGCCTTCGTTTGTACCATAAAATGGTGTACGTTTGGTTAATTGTTTTAGACTTGGGAGAACACGTTCACTCTCATGTATGTGCAGGGCCGGGTCATGCGCCTCAACGGGCGCTTGATGGTGCGCCTTCGTACGCCCAACAAGAAGCGGGAAAGATCATCCCTCGGTGTGAATTCGTTGGCCTCTCCGCTTCGATAGGAAACCTTATTACTGGCTGATGTCATTCTTTTTTTTTTTTATGGTGTGGCGTTTTTTCGAGACAAGGATACAAAAGCAAGGGATACTTTTTTTTTTTTGAAATTCTACTGCTGGTGTAGACTCTAAAGGCAGGGTAGGAGCCGGTTCCGGCGGGGTTGGCGGCACGTCTCGCGAGGGTTGTTGGACGCCTGGTCAGTCGGGGGCGCAAAGTGAGGCGGTGGCTGGCGCTCCGGAGGGGTGGTTTTCACTGACGGCGTGCGTTGTCGTTGTCGTTGTCGTTGTTGTTGTTGTTGTTGTTGTTGTTGTTGTTGTTGTTGTTGTTGATGATGATGATGATCGACCATGTTGTGTGTTGCAACGTTGTTAACAGCTCTTCCCAAATACATGGTAGGGGGGTGTTGTCGTGAGTTGCTTCTTTTCTCTTTTTTGGTCCGGGGGGGGGGAATCTTGGATGGTGCTTGCTCGGTGGAGGGAAGAGAAGGAAGAGGCACCAGGAGGGTGGGCGGGCGTGTTCCGCCCCGTGTGGTTTGCTGTGCTGCTGTGCTGCTGTTTGGTCAGCGCCACCTCTCGGCGTACGCTATAGCCCGTCGGGTCCCAAAACCAAGAAAGGCAGTGGTTGCTCAAGATTGGGGGTCCCCGATCCGGATGTTTGATTCTGGTGTGTTTCCTGCGGCCACCCCCCCCAGTAGAGGGGGGGGAGGGGGAGACCGAAATGCTGCTGTTACCGCTGTTGTGGTGACCGATTTTTGATTGGCATGCGAGTACGCAGCAAGAAGACCGGCCTGCCAAGGAAATATTGCCTCGGCATAGATACGGGAAGGGATACGAAAGGAGGTACAGTAGTAGGGTGTGACTGCCGGTCGTTGAAATCGGGAAGCACGAAGGTATTAGCGGGGCTTCAACGGTAACGGCGGTGGTAAGGCTAGGAGTGAATGTGTCCCGAATTGATTTTTTGTTGCGCCAGTCTACGAATATTTTTGTCCGTGTATTGATTGCGTGTGCTGTGTTTTTGGTGGGTCTGGGTGTGCCCCCGTGTTGACCGGACGTGGTTTTTTTTTTTTTTGTTCTTGCGTTTAGGGAAACAATCCTTATGACGTACCACCACCGTTTTGGGCGTTTTGGGCGTTTTGGCATCCGCCACGTGTTTGTGGGTGTGTCTGTGTAAACTGGCGGCGGGACTTGTTCAGCGCGTCCCGCCAGCTACTTCTCCCTCGGGTGCTTCCGCCGAGATGGGGGGGGGGGGGGGGGGGGCCT